TTATTCTATCTAGTCAGAGAACGTACTCTGTATAATTTCAATGTTTAAAATTTGTTTTGGTGTTTTTCTGTGTGGGCCAGAATTTGATCTATCTTGGTGTATGTTCCATGAACTCATGAAAAAATGTATTGTGTTATTTTGGATGTTTTGAGTGGAATGTCATGTGTGTGCGTGTGTGCGTGTGTGTGTGTGTGTGTGTGTGTGTGTCTGTCTATAATTAGGTCCTATTCATAGATTTTTTTGTTATTATCTGTATTACTTCCCTGTAGCTGCTGTAACAAATTACCACAAACTTGACAGCTTAAAACAACGTAAACTTATTCTTTCATAGTCCTGGGTGCTAGAAACCTAAAATCAAAGTGTCAGTAGGACCATGTTCTCTCCACAGGCTCTGAGGTAGAACCTGTTCCTTGCTTCTTCTAGTTTCTTGTGGCTACTGGCATGTCTTGTGTTTCTTGGTTTGTGGTCACATCACTCCAATCTCTGTGTCTGTGTTCATGTCACTTTCTTCTCTTTGTGTGTGCGTATGTGTGTGTGTAATCTCTGTCTGCCTTTCTTGTAAGGACAATCATGATGAGTAACAGAATGTATTATAATTTTTGTTTCAGTCATCACATATGGTTTAGAGAAATCATGAGAAGAGGATAATCAAATGTATTTACCCATATTTCGAGTCTTTCTGTTCTTTATATTTCCTTCCTGATGCTCTAAGATTCTTATCTTATCATTTTCTTTCTGTTTAAAGATCTTTATTCAGCCATTCTTTAAGAGTACGTCCACAACAACAAATATTTTTACCTTTGTTTGTCTGCAAATGCCTTTATTTTCCCCTCATTCTTGAAGGATAGTTTCTCCAGATGTAGAATTTACAGTTGTCAGTTCTTATATTTTAATATTTCAAAAATAATGTACTACTTTCTTCTGGGCTCTAGAATTTCAGATGACAAAATAGCTGCCATTTGGATTGGCATTCCCTTTAAGTAATATGTCGTTTCTTTCTGGCTCCTTTCAATATTTTTTCTTTCTATTTAATTTTTAGAAGTTTAGTTATGATGTCTTTTGCAGTTGATTTTTTTTGAGTTTATCCTATTTGGAGTCCATGTAGCTTGTGGAATCTGTAGGTTTATGTCTTTCACCAAATTTGAGACATTTTCAGCCATACTTTCCTCAAATGTTATTTCACCTCTACTCTCTTTCTCCTCTCCTTTTTGAACTCTCATGATATGAATGTGTGATTTTTTTGTATTGTCCTATATAGGTCCCTGAAACTATTTTTTTCAGTCTATTTTCTCTCTATTGTTTAGATTGAGTAAATTCCATTAAACTTCCTCAAATTCACTGATTCTATCCTCTGTCATCTACACTCTAATTTTGAGCCCATACGGCAAGTTTTCTATTTTTATTGCTATAATTTTTTCAGTTCTGTAATTTCCATTTGTTATTTTTATATCTTGATTTGCTTACTGAGATTTTGGGTTTTTTAAAATTCATTTTAAAAGAACTTGTAATTACTTGTTGAAATATTTTATGATGCCTTCCTTAAAATTCTTGACAGATAATTCCAACATCTGTTTCCTTTCAGTGTTGGCATCAATTCTTAGTCTTTTCTCATTTAAGTTGTTATTTTTCTGGTTCTTATTATGATGGTTGATTTTCCTATTATATCCTGGATAGTTTGGCCAAGTGATGAGGAAGAGAGACAGACAGAGGGAGAGATAAAGACCAAATGAAGAGAGGAGGGTGAAAAAAGTATAACTCCAAAAAGCACAAGAGAGGAGGGAGAAGAAAGCAAGATGGGGAAGAATAAGAAAATAATTGGAAAGAAATGTGAGGGGAAAGAGAGAGAGAGAGAGAGAGAGAGTGAGAGAGAGCGGGTTACACTAGATATAAATTTAAATCTATGAGCATCAGGTGCTATTATTACCATTTAAAAATAGTTATCTCTACAAAGCTTATCGGAGGTTTTTGCTCTTTTTGTAAATCTTAAGAAAAAATTTTATATACCAATTTTGAACTATGGGATTCTACATTACATATATCTTCCTTGCTATGCCCTTAATAACCTAACAATGGGGAAGTATATATCATTAATAACACCTCTTTCCAAAAAAGCATATCAATCATATATAAAACAATCTGGAAATACCTTACAGAACAATTATTTTCTTTGTATTCAAACCACAGCCTGCAGTCTTTCGAGAGCTCACTTTGGGTGGAGAATTGGCAGTGTCTTCTTCATCCTATTCTCAGACCTATATGGATTTGGTTTCCCGCCATACTCTGATATCTTTGAAAAGGGGAACACATTTTATATTTTTGTTCTTATCATCCAGAGCAGTAGAAATAGAAGAAAATAAATACTTCAGTGAATAATGAGAGTAATATGAATAAAAGGATGAAATATTAAACTTTAGCAGAAACTTTACACAAGTTAAAGTGACCATTTCATTTCATCAAAATTATAACATCAAGAATTCAAATTTATTTCTTTATATAAATGAGATCCTCAAGAATGATGCAGGAGAGCAAAATAAAAATATTTGCAAACTTAAAAATCCAAATCCCTATAGTTTACCCCATATTTGTTCAATGCTTCCAGTTTCATCGACTAGCCTAAATACTTCATGCTATGATGTAGAAAGGAAAATAAATGTATTGAGCACCTCCTATGTGGTAGTGGAATGTGACACAGATGAAACTGATACACAGCCTCAGCTGGTCAACTCTTAGCCTGTTCTTTCCAAGTAATTGCAACTAGCTTTCTCTCCAGGTGTGCTGAAATACTTTGGTGTAACCCAAATAGCTATGTTTGGATAGCCATACCCTAAATCCACCTTCCTTTCCTACTGGTGCTCATCCTCTCTGTGGTGTTCATTAGGTTACCAAACTAAGATAGCATATACCTGTGCTTACTAAGTTTTCCATTAAACATCAGTTCCTCATTCTCCAGTGAAAGGGCACAGAAAGGGGAAATAGATTTAAATACTACACCCTCAGATTCCTTATCTTACTTAATTAAATTGCTTTAGTGGTATCATTTTTTTTTTTTTTTGGTTTATTCTTAGTTAGTTGAGTGATAGCTATTTTCTAGTGGTACTGGCTTAATAATATTCAGTTTATATTATTATTTTAAAAGCTGAGTGAATTTCCAGTAATCTAGTCAGTGCAATGACTACTACATTTTCAAAAAACTACGGCCAGTTGAAAAATGACTTACATAAGGCCAAACAATTATTTTGATTCATGTTAATAACCTAGATTTTCTGTCTGAAAGGAGTATTATTTTAATGACAGTTAAATGTAGTTATTTTGACAGATGAATTTATCCTAATTCTATTTTTATTAAGCAAGTTAAAAGCTTTTGAATTGGCTCATAAACCAGTTTCATGATGTATCTGGGAGTAATTTCATCTTGAATAAAAAATATTTTTCTGTTTCATTTTTCAATGATCTCATTCACCATTGCATTATTGTCTTTAGAAAATGGTCGAATGAGACACAAGACAATTGTTTCTATGCAGAACCATGAATTTTACACTGACTGAAAATCAGATTTACATTTGCTTATGTGAATGCAGTAAGTCAATATAGCTAATAAAACATTTCTTTTTCCTCCTATTCATCTAATAATATACATTAATTTTTGTGAACCTTTTATGTAAACAATACTGATCAAAATTTCATGTTAATTTCTCAGGTGATGGAAGTCAAAGGACAAATGATCCATGTCCCAGAATCAAATTCCATTCTATTTTTGGGCTCTCCATGTGTGGACAAGTTGGATGAACTCATGGGCCGAGGGCTGCATCTCTCAGACATCCCCATCCATGATGCCACCCGAGATGTTATTTTGGTTGGCGAGCAGGCCAAGGCCCAAGATGGCTTGAAGAAGAGGATGGATAAATTAAAGGCAACTTTAGAAAGAACTCACCAGGCCCTGGAAGAAGAGAAAAAGAAGACAGTGGATCTTCTATATTCTATTTTCCCTGGCGATGTAGCCCAGCAGTTGTGGCAAGGGCAGCAAGTGCAGGCCAGAAAGTTTGATGATGTCACCATGCTCTTTTCAGACATTGTTGGCTTCACAGCCATATGTGCCCAGTGTACTCCCATGCAAGTGATCAGCATGCTGAATGAACTGTACACCAGATTTGACCACCAGTGTGGATTTTTGGATATCTATAAGGTAAGGGAGTTTAGTTACTTATAGATAAATATTATTTAACAGTAAATTATTATCTTAATTAAATCCCAAGGATATTTTTTTAAACTTAAATTTGATAGTAAATGACATCTCTTTAATTTAGAAATCTTTATACAGAATACAGGTATTTCTGCTTTATGTGTAAACTTTCATTATAACTTGATTTACAATATTGACATAGGTAATTGTGAATCATGATATTGCTCAGTAAGGAAAAATTCTGTATAGCCTGTCCTCTAAATTCATTATTATTAAAAAATTAAACTTGCAGAATTCTAGGCAACTTTGCCCACATAATTATTCTTGCTTAGAGTAGAGGATTCCAATATAAACTAAGAATTTTTTGTTGACAGTTAAATGGAAATAGCAAGTTATGTTAAAATATGCATTGCACTATCAGTTAGATATGGCTAATCAGAATTTTGCATTGCATTGTCAACTGAGATCCCTTTCCAAAGGACCGATGGTTTTAAGTAGAAGCATCTTAATTTTCCAAGCTACATAATGGAAAAACTTTCAAAATAGGTCCCAATTGCCATTTGTTTGTTTGATTTGGTGAACTCCTTAATTCGTTATTAAAATCATAGCAATATCATGAGTTATTCAGCCCCATATCTACCTAATGAATAACTTTTCATAGAAATTCACATGAATTGCACAATGTCATAGCTCATGTTCATACCATGAACTATTTTCTAAATTTCTAACTGCTACTGAAATTTAAAAATCCCAAAGGCTATACGTTTTTTAAGGACCACAAATCTGCTGATTTTAAAAAATGAAAGAGTTTTTCTAGATTCAAAATATGTATAGAATTTTGGGAATTATGTACAATAACCACGCCACAGAAAAAATAAGGTAAAGCCCACGTTTGTTTTGTGTTAGAAATGTGAAAGGAAACCAGATAAAGCTGAATGCCCAGAGAAGAGAACTACAGGGAGTGGCCCACAGGGACATTCAAAACGTGCTACTATGCAATGAAACCCTAGTCTCTAAATTTGTGGTTGTCCCATCTCAATCATCTATTATTCCATGTTTTCCTATCATTAGAGAGATGATGTAGTGACAAATTATAATTTAAGTGGTACAATTGAGCTAAATTAGGGCCTAATAAGAACGTTCTGTTAAGATAATCAAGCCTACTATAAATTAGGAGGTTGGTGAAGAAGCTATGGATTTTACAGTGCATATTTCAAGCACTGAGAAAATTAAAGCCTTTACAATGCTTGACTGCCAAGATGTTACACATCTCTGACTACTAAGAGCTAGCTAAATTGAAGGAAGCATAGTTATAGTTTTGATTCTCTTGTAATTAGAAAGGCAAATTTTCAGTGAAAAGTCAGCATAAATTATGTACTATATAATATTTTGATTCTTGGATTATAGAGAATGAACAAAATAAAGAAGCAGTAACTTTTTAAATGGAATATAGATGATAATAATAATAATGATGATGATGGCATTGGATATCGAAGTGACCTAATGTAAGTTTTGCCTCATTTTATATGTTTGCCTTTGGGAAACTCTTTGGTTTGAGATAAGAAGAAGCAAGGGAGAGGGTGAGTCCTTCTCCAGTTCCTCCCATTCCATTCCGCCAAGGCTGTAGCATCCCGATGCTATCTTTAATACACTCCCCTTAGAGTTCTCATCTTTTCACCTTTAAGCACTTTCTTAGCTTCACTTTTCTTCAGTTCTATACCCTATAAAATAAAGGTAATAAGTGTATCTATCTCATAGTTACATTGTTAGCATTTCAATCAGCCCCTATATGCAAAGCACTTAAAATAACATCTGGTGTATAGTAGTAAATGCAAATGTTAGCTGCCATTAGTATTTCTCACACAGGTGTATCTGAACATACGGGGGTGTGTGTTATGTGATTATGTTTGTATGTATTTGTGTGTGTATGTGTGTATAATACATATTATGTATAATATATATAATAATAATGTACCCATAGCTTTTTCAAAAAGAATAAAATATGAATGAACTCATTTAACCCTTCCATCACTAATATGTGAAATTATCTCCATTTTCATGTAAGGAAACTGAGTTTCCAAAAGGTTAAATAATTCAGATAATTTAGCTAATAAATCAGAATTTAAACTGAGGCTTATCTGATTCTAAAGCCTACAGTTTTTGCACAAGTTTAGCCTGTCATCAAAACAATGATAAAATGATAAAAGCAAAAAGTGTAAACTGTTTTAAAACTACGTTACATGATCAGTAACTATAACCATAGTTATACCATCAAGTGATGAGAAAAACTGTATGATCACCTTACCCAGATCTATCACTCTCTCTTCAATTGCAATTAGTTCAGAAATCTGAGGAGCTATATCTTTAAAATTGGGGGCTCTTCCATCTGCTGTCCTTTCTCTTTGTCGGAAACCAGCTGGCACCTTCTGTCTTCGTTTCTCCTATGGAGAAGTAGCATACCAAAAGGGATAGTGGGAGCAATGGTCCCAGGTGCAGGCAATAAGAGGTATACTTTTAAAATTATGAAACTGGATAAAAGTTGATCTGATTTTCTAAAATCATCTTGCCCAGGCAACTCTGCAATATATTAGTGATAAAATACTTTCTTCTGTTGGGGTGAAGGAGAGGTGGCATTCCCATCACGAACCCCAAATGTGGTTTGCAATTGTGGAGTTAAACGGTGAGTATCAGTGTCAGGCTTGGATTGGGGAAAAGGAGCAGAAAGACAAGATGGCACAGCCGGGAAACACCAGCATCAGAATTCTGTTAGATCAGGGAATCTGATGTTGAGAATGTGAAAAACAGCAACACAAAGTTCTTACTGCCAAGGGAATGCAAGTATTATGAGTCCAGCTGGAAAAACAGAGTCCAAGACAATCAGCAGAGTAGGAAGGAACAGAAATCCAGGCACACTCTCAGGGGTCACAGACCTTGGAACTGGCCTCAAGGGGACTGGATTACAGGAACTGGAAACCCAGCAGCAGGTCTGGGTGCAAGTATAAAGATGGGCATCAGGACAAAATTTGATACAGATCCAGAGTCTTTTCCCTGGCTAGGACCAGGCTTAGAGTCAGAGGGTGCACAGGTCACCTCTATAGATTCAGAGGTAAACCAAATGTGGAAACCTTATCAAAGGATGTGGAGATGTCCACAGAGCTTTTGGATGCTAAAAGTGGATTAGACCCACTGAGACATTAGAGTTACAAGGTTAGTTATATGTGTTTGTGAAAATACATAGAATATATTTGGGCACAATCGACATTAATGCAATTTGAAAATTGCTAGATAACCAGAGTTCTGAAAAATCTCCAAAGACCAATGAAAACATTGTGTTGACTTTATAAACTCAAAACCTCCATGAATACAAAACCAATCGAAAGAGCCAGAAAAGCGATTAAGATCATGTACATTTCATTTAATTTATATACGTACATTGTTTTGCTTTAATCTCCTGTTAGCTTATAGACTGCTGTTAACTGTAATTCCTTAATCGCTTTGAGGAAAAAAAAGTCTAGACATTCTGTTTCAGTATGTTTTGTGCTGCTGTGATAGAATACCCGAGATTGGGTTATTTACAAAGAACAGAAATTGATTCTTTCAGAGTTCTGAAGGCTGAGAAGTTCAAAATGAAGGTGCTGGCGTCTGGGGTGGTCTTCTTGCTGTGGCCTCATATAGTGGAATGCTTAAGGGCAAGAGAGAGTGAAGCCATTCCTACACGCCCTTCAGCTGGTGGCATTTATCCATTCATGGGGGCTCCGTCCTCATGACCTAAACACCTCCCATTAGGCCCTACCTCCCAGCTCTGTTGTATTGGAAATTAAGTTTACAGCACATGAATTTTGGAGGACACATTCAAACCATAGCACATTTAAAAAATAAATACAGAATGTAGAAGTAAATAGTAATAAATATCCATGATAGGAAGGCTCATACATAAGGTGATCAGTGTTCACTTTTGAGTGTGTATGTTAATATCCCAGGGAAGCTGGGTCTGAGCTTCTTGATGAAGACTACCTAGGCTTCGCACTGATGTGCTGGCAGCATCCGAGTTTGTGTACTGAATAAGTCTACCAGACTTAAATCCCCATCTTTAACCTCCTTTGTAGAAGCTGAAAGCAGACATTTCTCATATGAAGCTTTAAGGATATAGAACTTTATACCTCAAGAATTTCGATTTGTCTTGACTTTTGACAATACAAAGCTACTGAAGCTGTCTGCAAGCAGCCTTTGGAAAATGAAGCAGAATCTCAAGGATGTCACTTCACCATGAATTGGATTTTGCAGACACATGAAATGCTTCATTTCTCCCTTGTTTTGTTTTATGATAAAGTAGAAAGCCCTTCAAAGTGCTTAGGTACTTAAGTTATTCTTGGAATTTTATAAATATGTATATATCATTTTACTTCATTTCCAAGCACTAAATGTCAGTTCCATTTAATAAAGAGTAACTGGTTCATTTTTCTCCAAGATTTATATGTTTTCTCCTCTAATGATCAGAGAACATATGTTTGAAATTAAACACTATTAAAGACTTATACTAGTTCTTTTCAGTAGTCTTCATCAACATCAGTGTCACTTACTTTTGTTGCTATTTTATTGGAAATGAAGTGACAGTGTTGTAGTAAGTGAGAAAAGAGGAATTTCTGAAGTAAAAAAAAATAGTCCATTCATTCACTCACTCAGTAAACATTTTTAACTCATTCACTTGATAAAGGGGCATAACTCCCATAGAAGCTTATAAAATGTTAGGGAAATTGGCATGTATTTTTAGCATAATTTTAATGAGTAGAAAAGAACTAATTTATATGCTTTAGGAGGTAAGGTGAAAATCACAGATAAGCATTCTGTTCTGATATCTTTTCTACTGAGGGGATTATATTGTCAGTTTCAAAACACCATAATGCTCTAAAAATTACCTGAAAAGGGCTTTGCCTCATTTATATTTTTGCCTTTGGCAAGCACTTAGGTTGGAGATAAGGAAGAAGCAAGGGGAAGGATGGATC